GGTTTATTCAAAGGATCACAGGCAAAATTAACATTACACGTCCAGGCATCTTCCATCTCCAATACTGCGCGCAGGCAGATGAAGAATGAAAGACCCCGAACCCAACAGATCTGTACATTATATCTGGTTTGGGCTAACCCCATTCTACACAGGGACATCAAACCGTGGCGTCACCTGATATGCCAGCTTTACAGCTGACCGTAGCAGTAGTCAAAACATGGAGAAAATCAATGTGTGTGAGTGTTGATTAAGTGGTGTGTATCTAAGAACATACAGGACATGCAGGGACATGTCCGGACATTAAGCCTAGGACGATATTATGATTAAGATTACGGCTAAACATATAATAATAATAACAATAATCATCCTGCCTGCTGACAATCAAACTTTTCTATCTAGTTATCTTTGCCCATGTACACCCTGCTAAAATCTCATGACAATGACTAAGCGTTTAAACTAGACATCCTGTCTCCACTAAACATTTCTAATACAACAAGTATCTAACCAATATCTGACTAAAAAAATACCTAACACCATGGAAGGAGACAGATGTGAGAGAAATGATGGCCACATGGAACCACAGTGGGCTACACAGCATGCTCAGCCGGACTGACATGACATACTGCTAGCTCCCTCCCTCTCTCCTCTCAGTTTTATTTTTCACATTGAGTACTGACCCAATTTGTGTAGTAGTGCCCTACCCTGAAAAGCTCCTGTTCTCCCAGTGGCCACTCTGTCTAAAAATATGCCTTGTACAATAGCAAAGTAAATCTCAGGATTGTTAGTTATACTGGATTAGGTTTGTGCACAGTATAACTAAAGGTTTCTGTAGTACCCCAGTTTTTTAATTGGACAGCTCTGAATAACGTAGGAGTCCATCTTGCTTCACCTAGTGCTGGTTTATTTTAACCACAAGCAAAATTACAGACACGACCCGGGTTGCTCCCTTTTCCAGACACACACACACAGGCCAGGGGAGTCCCCCGCCACACAGAACCTAATACATTTATAAGGTTCAGGTTAACCCCTTACCCAGAAAGATTAAAAAAAAAAATCCCCAGATGAAGTCAATCCAAAGACTCCATCACTTATC